GATTGTTCTTAGCTACTGAGTCGGTGTGCACTGATTTGCATGTCGCACTATAGAACTTCCATTGATGACTGATTCTTAATTCTGTCAAGCTCAAGTTAACATGGTATCAGAGCGACGATCGTGATTTACAGAAGCTCCGGTGTGTAATCCGACGAAATTCCGGCAATTGAAGTCATACGAAGCCCTAATTTTTCAAACATGGCAGGAAAAAAGTTAACCTTACTCGAACACAATCATCCACTTTTTCTACAAGCATCCGATACTCCAGGACTAGTTTTGATTCCTATAAAACTGACTGGGCCAGAAAATTATGCCCTGTGGAGTAGGGCAATGAAACTAGCTCTTAGGGGTAAATGTAAGCTTGGATTTGTGGACGGAAATTGTGTTAAGAGCATGTATAGGGGAGAATTAGCAGAGCAATGCGAGAAGTGTAATGCGATTATATTGTCGTGGATTGGGAGTACAGTTGTGAGTGAGCTAATGCCAAGCATAGTTTTTGCATCTAATGCTAGGAAAGTATGGAGTGATTTCAAAGAAATTTTTTATAGGTGTAGACTAACAAGGATTTATCACCTTTGGACTGAAATAGCCTCACTAAAACTAAGCATTGATTCAGTGACTACTTACTACTCTAAAATGACAGATTTATGCAGTGAATTGGATGTGTTGACACCTAAATTTTCTTGTGATTGTGAAGAATCTAGGCCTTCGTTGATTCATTTAGAGCAGCAACGATTGCTTCAGTTCCTCATGGGGCTAAATGAGAACTACAACAATGTGCTGAGTAATGTGTTGCTGAGAAGGCCAGTGGTGTCTGTAAATGAGGCATATGCCATTGTTACATAGGAAGAGAGTCAGAGGACATTAGGTGTGACAGATACCAACAGAGATCTTGTAACTATGTTAGCAGGGAAGACTCAGGGATTTAAGCCAAGGAAAACTGGGTTGATCTGTGAACATTGTGGATACGAAGATCACTTGAAAGAGAATTGCTATAAAATAGTTGGATATCCAACTGATTTTAAGAGTAAGAAGAAGCCTCAATTTGGTGGAAACAGAACCTATGCCAACACTGCTAGTGCAGATGATACTGCTGGGAGCACTAATCAACCACAAGGACATTATCTCACAGAAGAACAATACAAGCAATTGGTGGGACGGCTGAATAAACCTGCAGAAGGTAAATGTTCTACTAATATGGCAGGTATTATATCCTTGTTGTCTAATGCTATCATAAGTAGTTGGGTGGTAGACTCAGGAGCTACTCACCATATTACTTATAATAAGGAAGCACTAAATAATGTTAAAACAAGTGAAAAATAAGGAAGTAATGGTGTGCAATTACCAACTGGTAACAAGGCAGGGATAACACATACAGGAGATGCAGTAATTCTAGGAGGCATGTGCATAAAAGATGTACTGCATGTACGAGATTTTAAGTTCAATCTCTTATCTGTGGCTAAACGCACTAGGGACCTCACATGCACAATCAAATTCTATCCTGATTTTTGTGTGCTGCAGGGATCTCTACAGTGGGAAAGTATTAGGGATTGGTAAGGAATGTGAAGATCTTTACATATTGAAAGAATGTACAAAGGCAGCAGGAATAACAGTCTGTGTTATAAAGAAGGAGGAAAGCACCAAGCTATGGAATCTTAGATTAGGACATGCTTCAATAAAATCTATACAACATATAGTTTCACTTCAAAATGATATTAGTGGAAAGGAATTGAAAAACTGTATTATTCATCCTCTAGCCAAACAATGTACAATACAGTTTCCTACTAGCACTACTAAGTCCACCGGTATATTTCATCTTGTTCACTTAGATGTTTGAGGACTTTATAAGACTCCAACCTATGATAGAAAGCATTATTTTGTTACTATTATTGATGATTTTAGTAGGTATACTTGGGTCTACTTGATACAATCAAAGTGTGAAGTATATGTTATTCTGAAGATTTTCATTTTTGTAATAAAAACTCAGTTTGATGTGAATATCAAAATTCTGAGAAGTGACAATGGTACAGAGTTCTTCAATTCCAAATGTAATGAATTGTTGTCCTGTTTTGGCATTATTCATCAAAGCAGTTGCTCATATACACCTCAACGGAATGAGACTGTGGAGAGAAAATACAGACACATTTTAGAGGTATCTAGAGCCTTGAGATTTTAGAGTGGTGTGCCTATTAAATTCTGGGGTGAGTGTATTAGATCAACAATCTACTTGATCAATAGGCTGTCTACAAAGGTCCTAGAAGGCAAAACTCCTTATACTATTTTATATGGGAATGTACCAAACATAGATCATCTTAGGGTGTTTAGATGTCAATGTTATGCTAGCATATTGCCCAGAAGGGACAAGTTTGCAGCTCGAGCATCAAGGACAGTGTTTATTGGGTATTTTGAAACCCAGAAGGGTTATAGATTATATGATCTTAAAACAAAAACATTGTTTGTCAGTAGAGATGTCAAATTTTATGAATATATATTTCTCTTCCTACATGACTCTCTTGATGACAAGGAACTCTTTCTACAGCTCTCAGAAAATGCTCTATTCCCAGAGCCATCATCCACTCCAACTTATAGTGAGCAAAATCCACCAGCATCTCTTGTCATTGCACTAGAACCTCATCCAAATTCTCTTGAACCTCATGAACCTTCTTCAACAGATACCAACACAACCTCTGCAGAAGAGGATTCAATTCTAGACAATGCAGAGATTACTGGTCCTTTACTACCTCAACGGGTTAATACAGCTAGTTCTTCACCTTCTCAGCCACCTACTCCACCAGCAGTGATTGCTTCTAGACCACACAAACATGCGGGACCTCCAATTTGGCTCAAGGACTACATCACTACAGGCAACCTATTAGGAAAGAGCAAATATCCTATCTCCAATCATGTTACTTATGTTCACTTATCTCCAACATATCAGTCCTACTTGATGGCCTTCTCAGTTGTCATTAAACCAAAGACCAACAAGGAGGCTGCAACTGATCAGAATTAGGTTCATGCAATCGAACAGGAAATCAAGGCTGTTGAATATAATCACACATGTGAGATAGTAGATCTGCGTGTTGACAAACAAGCTATAGGCTCTAAATGGGTCTACAAATTTAAACATAATGCTAATGGTGGGATAAATAGGTACAAAGCAAGGTTACTGGCTAAAGGCTACACTCAACAAGAAGGACTTGACTGCCATGAAACCTTCTCTCCTGTGGCAAAAATGGTGACAGTGAGGGCAGTCATTGGTGTTGCATCATCCAAAGGTTGGCCTCTGTTCCTCACTCCCTATTCACAAAGAAAATCAACAAAGACATTGTAGTTGTCTTGGCGTATGTTGACGATCTTCTATTAACAGGAAATAGTAACAGGTAATACTGGAGATGCTCTGCTGGAAGATGCATGTAGCTATCAGAAACTAATCAATAAACTGCTATATCTGACAATTACAAGGACAAACATATGCTTTGCAGTTCAAGTACTAAGCCAGTTTATGCAGTCTCCTAAGGAGTCCCATATGGAAGCAGGATTAAGAGTGGTCAGATACATCAAAGGAAGACCTGGACTAGGGATCCTTTTGAGCAGTAGACAAACCAATACTCTCACAGTATACTGTGATTCAGACTGGGAAGTATGCCAAAATATAAGAAGATCTGTCACATGTTATGTGGTTAAACTGGGAGACTCATAGTTATCTTGGAAGTTAAAGAAACAACAAACAGTGAGTAGAAGCTCCGCAGAGGCAGAATACAGAAGCATGACAGCAACAGTTATAGAAGTGATATGGATTACTAGCTTACTAAAGGAGATAGGCAACAAGGTGGAAGAACTTGTACACCTACATTTTGATAGCAAAGCATCTCTACAAATAGCTGCTAATCCAATCTTTCATGAGAGAACCAAACATATAGAGATAGATTGCCATTTTATGAGGGAAAGAATCAAAGAGGAGCAGATCAAGACAGAGTATATACCCACAAAATAGCAACTTGCAAACCTAATGACTAAAGGACTGGAGACAACACAACATGAGTTGGTGCTCTCCAAGCTAGGAGTGTTGAATGTTTTCCACCCTCCAGCTTGAGGGGGAGTGTCAACATAGCTAGAAGAACAACTCAGTTAATGAGTGAGGGGTCAATATGTAATTAGTTAAAATTAGAAGGAGTTAAAAGTAGAAGTTTGTTAGAAGGCAGTTACTTACCATTGATGACTGATTCTTACCTCTGTCCAGCTCAAGTTAATACAAAACGTAGGCCAAACACGAGTTTTACAAATAATAGATCAGCTTGGGACAGAGGAATTCGGATGAATATCACGAAGAGGGGGGAGGTTACACAGGTTTTACAAAAAGGACGTGCCTACAATTGAACTGTTTGACCTTTTGTTGATGCACGATGGATTAAAATATATTTCTAAATGTTGTGGGGTTAAACTAAAGGTAAGTAAATTATATAAAAAAATATCCTTTGTATATTAGCGTCTTAAATATGTCATGTTATTTCTAAAATGGAGTGCTGTTACGGGTAAATCGGGAATACTGTAAGAATTAAAAATATGGTATTAACAAACTAAAAAGAAAAGTAAAATACAATAAATAAAAATGGATTTGAGCATATTCCTGTAAAATATTTCTACTTTTACGTTCAGTAGCTTTTCATTCTCGTTGTTTCCTTATATTGTTCCTTTCTCCGCACAAAATGCCAATTTAACGACTTTACATGAAGGTAACAAACTGCTAAGACTTTTATAGTTGATACGACGAAGGGTAAAACGGAAAATTTACTAACATGTGTTCTCCTCTCCAGTACTACACGTGTCCATTAATAAACAACACCCAACTTACTCTTCTTCTCCTCTGTAATCTGAAAGCATTTTTCTCTGGTAATTTCTCTCTCCATTTTTCTCCTCTTTCTTTCTCTTCTGGTGAGTGGTTGTCGTTTCATTCTTAGCTTTGTGTTCTTTTGTATAGTTAGCAGCATCGATTTACAGAAGCATAACTTATAAATTCAAATATTACAGTCAAGAAAAGGGAGGGAAAGCCCTTTTTTTGTGTGGGGAAAATGCATCAATCGACGAGGCATATTTTCCTAAAACTTCTCCCGGCTTAAACATAACATGCATGTAGCTATTTTTTGTGAATTTAGGTTTGTCTATGTAGCAATTTCTGTATTTATCTTTTTCGATTTTATTTAATGTGATACTGACTATCTCAAATCTTTTTAGATTCTTTTTGAGTTATACTTTACCCTGCATAGCGGCATCTTATGGGGTAGGCATCTAGAAAAGTTTGGAGGAAATGGTGCTTTCCCCTATCAATTGGCTGAATGTGATGTCGGACTGGTGGAGAATTTTGTTGAAATCTAGCACAACGGCATACGACATGTAAGAAATTATTCTTTTGCAATTCTAATTTGTGATAAGTTATGGTAGCAATGCGTTCATTGATTCCAATTTCCATCCATGACTAACAAAGATTAATTGCATTTGCTTATTTCGCCTCCCTCTGAATTATTAAGCATTTTAGAAAAACATATTTTATCAATTCATATAGGAGCATAGCCGAATACAACTAACATAGAATTTGGGATCTTCATTAGGTTACTTGCACTGCGAGTTCTGCGATGAAATATGCTATTACTGTTATATTTTGGGTCATGAAAAATGCACTTTAATACACCATATTAGCTTCAAAGATTTACAGATGATATTCTGTCAACTTTTGCACCATAATTTTTGTTATACTACTAAGTTTGTCAAATTTCTCAAATCTTTTTTATGGTTTTGATATTTGCAGTTTTAGTCTTTTGCCTGCTTTTACTTAACTTCATTCTGGAATTCAACTAATTAAGAAATAATTAATATTAAAAGTGACATACTTAAGTATGTTTGAATTCAAGAGAATGATGAACCAAAACTAATACAATGTATTTCAGCATGTAAACTCCCTATATCAAGCCATAGAAATAATATATACAGACACTCATTGGGTGTCTCAACATATACTATCACGATCCAAAATCCCACCACAGGCGTCGTGATGACACTTAGTCTCTAAGACTAGATAAGCCGATTTTAATAACAATTCAAGCCATTTTTTTTAAAACATATAATCTAATACAACCTCCCAAGACTGGTAATACTGAGTCACAAACTCTAACTGAATACATGGAATGATCTCGAGGACCGAATGTACAATACTGTTCGAATAAGAAATTAACAGTACAATAAAATGGAAAGACCCCAAGGAACTGGGACGACCAAGCAGTCCTATCTTGAATCCTTGCGATCATACTCTAATCTCTGTCCGAATCCAATATCTCCAATACCTTGCTCTGCACAAAAATGTGCAGAAGTGTAGTGTGAGTAGAAGTGTAGTATGAGTAAACCACAGTCGGTACCCAGTAAGTATCAAGACTAACCTCGGTGGAGTAGTGACGAGGTACAGTCAAGACACTCACTAGTCAAATAACCCGTTCAATATAGCATACAAAAATAATAGAAAACAAATAGGAGTGATAACAACACCAATCAACTAGTGATGTAGACAGCAAGACAGCAAGAACACCATAAATAGTGCTCAAACGAATAATAAACACAAGTACAACCAATTAATCAAGTCCTTCAAAATATACATATTTTATCTATAAGTTTTTCAAATAAAAATCTTTAGAATGTAATCCATACAATTAAATATATCCCTAATTTACTTCCTTCAAATAAATATCTTACGAATACAATTCTTTTAAATAAATATCTTTCAAATATAATTCTTTCAAATAAATATCTTTCGAATATAATTCTTTCAAATAAAAGTCACCATGTGACACCTTATTTAACTTTCCTGGTGAGAAATATATTCAACATATTACATCAAATGGCACGACAATACCTTCGTGCACTTGTCTCATTCTCACCCAATATATATATATATATATATATATATATATAAAATCAATTGGCACGGCAACACACTTCGTGCATTTTTCTCCTTCTCGCCGAGCATACATATAACAGTACCAATTAGGTGGGAGAAGTGCCAATAACAATAAAAGAAATAAAGTGGGAGGCACACAGGCAACAACAACGACTACAAGTTACATAGAAAACATAGGTGTACAATAACATCTCAAGATAAAGGCATGAATGCACACACAACGAAAAGATATCACAATATAATGTATGTCTCTTATCCTCGCCTGCACGGAAACACCCTTCGTACCATGAACATATGATAATATAAAAATAATGGCACGGCATCACCCTTTGTGCTTTTACTCTCATCCTCACGTGATAATATAATTGAAATGGCACGGCATCACCCTTCGTGCTTTACACTCTCAATGGCACGGCATCACCCTTCGTGCTTTACACTCTCAAATGGCACGACATCACCCTTCGTGCTTTACACTCTCCCTCACATGATAATATAATTCAAATGGCACGACATCACCCTTCGTGATTTACACTCTTCCTTACCAAGCACATGTATATCATTAACAAGCAAGGTAGGAAGCATAAATAACATCAAGTAGAGTGTTTAAACCACAACACAATGCAATAATTCATATCACAGTTTGCCACTAACCACAACCAAATTCCAAAGATGTAGCATAATCAATAAATTTCTCAACAAATAGTCTAAGGCGCCACACAACGTACATCAAACCTAAAAAGAAAAGAGATGGAAAAGTAACTCAACATAAGACAACACCTTCTTTAATCCATATTTTTGGTAAATATATTAATGCCTCAATTTAAACTTATTTAATTAATTATTTGCAGATGGAAAATTCATAATGAAATTAATTCCAAGAAATATCGAATCAACAAACACACAGAATTCACATAAAATTCCAAGTGGCAATCACCCCAAATTATCATATAAAATACAAACTCGACAAACAAGGAATGAGGCATGACAAATAAATGATTTACTATGTTCCAATGATTTTCCAATTTAATATAAAAGGGTGTCTACAAATTTTAACCGGTATAAGTTGCACATTTACACCAAGTATGTTCTCGTCACACAAATTCCAAATAAGACCCAATGCCTAAGGGGTAATTCCCCCACTCAAGGTTTAGGCAAGATACTTACCTTTTGAAGTTATGCCGATATTCCAAAATAGTCGTCTTGCTTGAATTAATCCTCCGGACATCTCAAATCTATTCAAATTAATTGTATAACTTCATTAAAATTTATCGAAACCAATTCCGAATAATATAACGTGGATTTAAAATTTCACATTAAAAAGTCAACCAAAGTCAACCCGGGGCCCACCTCTTGGAACCCGACATAATTTTCACGAAATCCAGACACCCATTCCGATACTAGTTCAACCATACCAATTTTATTAAATTCCGATAACAACTCGACTTCCAAATCTTAATTTTTTGTTCTTGAAAAGTTTTGCAAAAATCTTGATTTCTTCCATTTAAATCCGAAATAAATGATGAATATAACCATGGATTTATGAAATATAATCACTGTAGGATATAAGACACTTACCCAAGTCGAAGTCATGAAGAAACTCTTCTAAAATCGCCCAAATACCGAGCTCCAAAAATCCAATCGAAAATGGCGAAATGACCATTTTAGTCCTTTATGTTTCTGCCTAGTTCCGCTTCTGCGGACAGATTTGCGCATCTGCGGCCTCACTTTGTGAGACAAAATGCGCATCTGCGAAGTCCCAATGTCCACTGCCCAACAGGAGCTCGCATTTGCGATGTCGCTTCTGCGACAAAATGGTCGCTTCTGCTAAGCCATGCCCAGCTGCCTCTATCCGCTTTTGCGTTCCAGTGGTCGCTTCTGCGATCACACAGGTGCGAAAAATGCGTCGCACCTGCGACCCCTGACCAGTACCCCTTCCCAGTCACTTCTGCTAGCTTGACTTCGGTTCTGTGATGTCGCTTCTGCGACCAAGACATTGCAGAAGCGATCACACCAACTGCTGCCCAGCTTCAGCTAACAGAAAATTTCCAGCAACTCCCAATGTCCGTAATCCAATCCGTTAACCTTCCGCAATCCACCCGAGGCCCTCGGGACTTCAAACCACGTCAAACAACGCCGAAATTACGAATCGCGCATCGAATCTAATTATGAGTTTTCAAATTTTCCAACTTCAATATTTTGCGCCGAAACGTATCAAATCAATCAGGAATGACTTTAAATTTTGCACACGAGTCATAAATGACATAATGGAGCTGTTCCAATTTCCGTAATCGAAATCCGACCTCGTTATCAAACAATCGACGTACGGCCGAATTTATGAATATTTCAAAAACTTCATTTTTCAACTTTTCGGCGAAATGTGCCGAATGGTCCTACGAACTTCCAAATCCAAATCCGGACATACGTCTAAGTCCGAAATCACCATACGAAGCTATTGACATCATCAAAATTACATTCCGGAGTGGTTTGCTCAAAAGTCAACTCTCCGGTCAACTCTTTTCATTTTAGGTTCTAAAATAAGAATTGTTCTTTCAATTTAATTCTGAATCTTCCAAAAAACCATACTGGACCGCACACGCAAGTCGTAATACATATTACGAAATTTCTCGGGACCTTATGTCGCTGAACGGGGTGTAAATTCTTAAAATGACAAGTCGAGTCGTTATGGTGCAAGAACACCATAAATAGAAAAAAATAGCAGTGATATCAACACCAATCAACTAGTGATTTAGACAGCAAGGCAGCAAGAACACCATAAATAGTGCTCAAACGAATAATAAACACGCGTACAACCAATTAATCAAGTCCTTCAAAATATACATCTTTTATCTATAAGTTTTTCAAATAAAAATCTTTAGAATGTAATCCATACAATTAAATATATCCCAAATTTACTTCCTTCAAATAAATATCTTACGAATATAATTCTTTCAAATAAATATCTTTCAAATATAATTATTTCAAGTAAATATCCATCAAATATAATTCTTTCAAGTAAATATCTTTCAAATATAATTCTTTCAAGTAAATATCTTTCAAATATAATACTTTCAAATAAATATCTTTCGAATATTTCACTTTTCATAGTACCGGGCCTTTCTTACGTGCTATTGTTATTTTTTTTCAAGTATTTTCTGGTACTTTTAATTCTGTTACTATTTTTATGCCTTTTGCTGTTGGTACTGATATATTGTCTTTACGTCTGCTTGAGCCGATGGTCTATCGGAAACAACCTCTCTACCCCTTAGGGCAGGGGTAATGTCTACGTACACTCTACCCTCCCCAGACCCCACTTGTGGGATTTTACTGGGTTGTTGTTGTTGTAAATATTTTTCGAATATAATTCTTTCAAATAAAAGTCACCATGTGACACCTCATTTAACTTTCCTGNACGGAAACACCCTTCGTGCCATGAACATATGATAATATAAAAATAATGGAACGGCATCACCCTTTGTGCTTTTACTCTCATCCTCACATGATAATATAATTGAAATGGTACGGCATCACCCTTCGTGCTTTACACTCTCAATGGCACGGCATCACCCTTCGTGCTTTACACTCTCAAATGGCACGGCATCACCCTTCGTGCTTTACACTCTCCCTCACCAAGCATATGTATATCATTAACAAGCAAGGTATGAAGCATAATAACATCAAGGAGAGTGTTTAAACCACAGCATAATACAACAATTCATATCACAGTTTGCCACTAACCACAACCAAATTCCAAAGATGTAGTAAAATCAATAAATTTCTCAACAAATAGTCTTAGGCTCCACACAACGTACATAAAACCTGAAAAAAATAACAACAGAGATGGAAAAGTAACTCAGCATAGGACAACACCTTCTTTAATCCAAATTTTTGATAAATATATTAACGCCTCAATTTAAACTTATTTAATTAATTATTTGCAGATGAAAAGTCCATAATGATATTAATTCCAAGAACTATCGAATCAACAAACACACAGAATTGACATAAAAATCCAAGTGGCAATCATCCCAAATTATCATATAAAATACAAACTCGACGAACAAGGAATGAGGCATGACAAATAAAGGATTTACTATGTTCCAATGATTTTCCAATTTAATATATAAGGGTGTCTACGAATTTTAACCGGTATAAGTTGCACATTTAAACCAAGTACGTACTCGTCACCTCGCGTACATGGTTTTCAATCACACAAATTCCAAATAAGACTCAATGCATAAGGGGTAATTTCCCCGCTCAAGGTTAAGCAAATTACTTGCCTTTTGAAGTTATGCCGATATTCCAAAATTGCCGTCTGGCTTGAATTAATCCTCCGGACAGCTCAAATCTATTCAAATTAATTGTATAACTTCATTAAAATTCATCGGAACCAATTCCGAATAATATAACGTCGATTTAAAATTTCACATTAAAAAGTCAACCAAAGTCAACGCGGGCCCCGCCTCTCGAAACCCGACATAATTTTCACTAAATCCAGACACCCCTTCCGATACGAGTTCAACCATACCGATTTTATCAAATTACGATAACAACTCGAACTCCAAATCTTAATTTTTTGTTCTTGAAAAGTTTTGCAAAAATCTTGATTTCTTCCATTTAAATCCGACATAAATGATGAATATAACCATGGATTTATGAAATATAATCACTTTAGGATATAGGACACTTACCCAAGTCGAAGTCGTGAAGAACTCTTCCAAAATCGCCCAAAAGCCGAGCTCCAAAAATCCAATCGAAAATTGCGAAATGACCATTTTTGGTCCTTTATGTTTCTGCCCAGTTCCGCTTCTGCGGACAGATTTGCGCATCTGCTGCCTCGCTTTGCGAGCCAAAATGCGCATCTGCGAAGTGCCAATGTCCACTGCCCAACAGGAGCTCGCATCTGAGGAAAAAGTTGCGCATCTGCGATGTCGCTTCTGCGAAGCCATGCCCAGCTGCCTCTGTCCGCTTCTACGTTCTAGTGGTCGCTTCTGCGATCACGCAGGTGCGTAAAATGCGTCGCACCTACGACCCCTGACCAGTACCCCTTCCCAGTCGCTTCTGCGAGCTTGACCTCGCTTCTGCGACCAAGACATCGCAGAAGCGATCACACCAGCTGCTGCCCAGCTTCAGCTAACAGAAAATTTCCAGCAACTCCCATTGTCCGAAATCCAATTCGTTAACCTTCCGAAATCCACCCGAGGCCCTCGGGACCTTATCCAATTATACCAACATGTCCCAAAATACAATAAGAACTTAGTCGAAGCTTCAAACCACGTCAAACAACGTCGAAGTTACGAATCGCGCATCGAATTGAAGTATGAGTTTTCAAATTTTCCAACTTCTATATTTTGCGCCGAAACGTATCAAATCAATCAGGAATGAATTCAAATTTTGCACACGAGTCATAAATTACATAATGGAGAAGTTCCAATTTCCGTAATCGAAATCCGACCTCGTTATCAAACAATCGACGTACGGCCGAATTTATGAATATTTCAAAAACTTCATTTTCCAACTTTTCGGCGAAATGTGCCGAATGGTCCTACGGACTTCCAAATCCAAATCCGGACATACGCCTAAGTCCGAAATCAACATACGAAGCTATTGACATCATCAAAATTCCATTCCGGAGTCGTTTGCTCAAAAGTCAACTCTCCGGTCAACTTATTTCATTTTAGGTTCTAAAATAAGAATTGTTCTTTTAATTTAATTCTGAATCTTCCAAAAACCAAAATGGACCGCACACGCAAGTCATAATACATATTACAAAATTTCTGGGGACCCTATGTCGCTGAACGGGGTATAAATTCTTAAAATGACAAGTCAGGTCGTTACATACACTACATTATAAATTGATATTGACCTTAAGTAATCAATAGCAGTTTGTTATTTCAAATTGCTATATCTTTGTATGATACTTTAGTTCCATTTCAAAAATAGTGTAAGTTATGTTTATCAGATCTCATGAATTCTTTTCTTCTTTTTTTACCTTTTGCTAACGGTGGCAGCCAAGATATTGATGAAGCTTTATCTGTTCAGTTTTGTCAAGGAGGTATATTACAGTGTTCAGGTACCATTTCTAGCTCCAACTTGCTACCTAAAGTCAATTCGAAAGTTCTCCAATTATGGTTTGTGCATACTTTACGACAGATTAATCATTGGAGTTAAAAGAAAAGATCAGTTTTGCTTTAGTAATCCAAATGGAAGAGTAAGATCATAAAAAATGATGCATTAGCAAAATATCTGTGGATTATTGCTTGTTCTTTTCTTGAAATCTCTATTTGCTGCCTTGTATTAGGATATGTTCAAGATCCTATGCAGTTAAAGATGGAGAATATGTGAAAATTTAAGACAACTGCATTATCTGATGAATGCTTATGCAATATTTGGACTAAAATAAAAATAAGGATTGATCAGAAATACAAGGAAGTGAGGCAAAATAGATGCAGCTTTTACTCAAAGTCTCCTTTTGTAGGGATATCCTACTTAAATTGATAGTAAAGTCTCCTTTTGTAGGGATATCCTACTTAAATTGATGGAACAACTCAATATTCATTTTAAATTCATGGAACAACTCAGTATTCATTTTACCTTCATGCTAAGACTTGTCCTCATAAAGCGTTTCGTCTAAAAATATAAGTGGTAGAGATACTGGTGTTCTTGCATAGAGCTTCTGTTATAAATCTGTATTGCTGTAATAAACAATTAAACCATTAAACTTTCTGAAATATATAAATAAAACAGAAAGTTAGTAATACTTGTTTAACGAAATAAATTCTGGAAAAACAGTATAGGAATAAATCGAGCCCACTGAATACACAGTGTGTCCTTAAGGAAATTATTTCCCTCAAATACCCGAGGTGCCGGAATATATCCTCCCAGGATAGAACGATTTAACTCACCGGAGTGTTGGTACCAAAAACGTCGGTGAACAGCGAGCCACTCGAAGGCAGTAAAACACGCTGGAATTTTTGTGCAGAAGAAGAAGAAGAAGATTAGAAAATTTCGTAAGAAACGATTCTGGGATTCAAAGTATATTTATAGAGTTGCTGGCATTGTTTCTGAAAAAGTTTGCAACCTTTCAGAAACAGCCATGGCTGTTGGAACAGGTTGTTTGAAATATTGCGGGAAAACAGATTTAAAATAATCCGGGAAAGAAAACGGGTCTGACCGGACCGGGTCGCGGGTTATTCCGGATTGAATTTTTCGTTAATTAATTGAAAGGAATTGTCCAACAAGATTAATCAATCAATCTTTGACCGAAGCCGAAGCCGAAGCCGAGCGACGACGGCGGCGGCGTGAGGCTTGCCTTCTTCTTAACTCTTTGAGAGCTAGAAGAAGATCAATTATATATATACCTATCAAAAGTCTTTTCTTTCTCCAATATGGGACAATGTCCCTTTGCCAAGGAGGGAAACTCAAATATTTTATTTTTCCTCCATTTCTCATTCACCCTCTTTAAGCTACACAAGCTTAAAATCCCGCTTCTACTTCTCCTACTCTCTTAAGTTATGAATTTGTTGGTGATCTTGCTGAAATTCAATGGTGAGTCCGTTCATTCTATTTTCTTTTATGATTTCAGAATATATAGTACGATGGTTTCATGCAGAGAGGATTCATAAGAAATTAGAATAGGAAGATTTCTGCCTGGAACAATTACTCCCACTTCTATCTTTTGACATTGGTGTTTGCTTTTACCAGTGTTCATCTGAGTTGGGAAATTAACTGCTGAGATGCTAAAGAAGTTCATCCTCTTTGAAATATCTATATATAGCGTAGTTTGCTTTTGCTTTAGCTAGATATTTTTTAGTTTCATTGGTAATTCTTATGGAATTTCTTTCCATGTGCAGATTACGTGGTTTAGTGTAGTCCTATGTAAAAGTATTGACTCAAATCCACCATATGAAATAATAGCAAGATAGGTTTGGATTTAAATAGCATAGTGATAAATAGAAAGATAATTGACGATCAAATCACTTAGGTCAGTAAGGACTTCTACCTTTTGGGCTTCCAAGGGACAGGATCCACATATGTAAAATCTAGATTCTTTATTTGTTTGCTTATGTTTAGTGTATTGTTACTCATGTGTTTTCGTTACTACCTAAATCTACAGATGTTGGAGTTAAGCAAGTCAATCCGGCAATTAGATTCTATTCTTATGGTATAGCGAATTCGAATCTATCTCTAAGGCTTGTGCTGAGTTTAGTCAAGAATTCTTTAGAGAAGATACGCGAACCTCTTTTTTGAATGCAAAAAGTTGCTTACTGTCGTATTTTCTCACTCTTGAGAAGGTAAGACTAAAAAAAAACTTTGTATTCAATTATTAATGATGTATAAGCTCATAGGTCGGTGAAGTACATGAGTCCATGACCATCAATTATTTTTGTATGACTGTATACTCTGCTTAATAACATAATTATATTTTTACCTTCAGATGTTGTAATTGGTTGTAAGTTGTGCGTCTAGACTACCTGTTTTTGTGTCTAAACTTTTTGCTTCTTTTTCTGCAAGGAATATACATTTCTTATCGGAATTTTGAAGGTAAAACATTCTCCATCATTCTTCAATAGATTTCTCAGAAATTGACTGATGAGAGTGACATATATCTATGCTTCAGGCGTTTTTTCTACTGGAGATTCTGATTAGAAGAAGACCACTATGATGCAAGAAAAGAAAGATGTTGCTTGCTGGTCAACTAAGACTTTTCCTGTAATTTATTTTCACAGGACTTACTTTGTAAATAGCTCATCATCATAAGTTGAAGTTGACAGCAGACTGTGACTTCAAAATTGTTGGAAATGTCGAACTAATTCCAGGTTCTTAGTTTTCGTGTTCTTTAATGACACATATTCATGGTGTTAAAGCTTTGTTAGCGATCATGTAGCTGTGTTTGTTGGAATATGAAGCCAAAATGAAAGGGGTAAAAATAGAAAAAAGATAGAGAGCAGTGCATGTTTTAAGTATATCATATGAGACTTCTTGTGTCAACCATATATAGGAAACGGCTTGCTGTGGTATGTCAATTGAGATTTGTTCATTTTTCACATAACTCATACGTTCAGGAAATAGTTTGAGAAGTACTTATATCTCAAAGAATGCGACCGTCTTTGGCGTCTCAGTTATTATATTTTTTTATTTTTTATTTTTTTTAAATCACTCCCAAATTAGAAAGATCTATAGTGTTTTCACACTTTTCCTCCAGCGTGACTCGAACTCAGGACCTAACAGTCGTGGGTGGAGGTGCTTTTAAAAGGTCTAATTGACACAGATAAGTCGGGCTATCTAGTCTCCAATATATAGCTGGACTTCTCCAATAATGGTGGTGGCAAAGGATTTCATAAGACCCAATTTGAAATACACTCTCCACTATATTTTATTTCTTTTTCTTTATTACGAAAGCTACTATAACGATTTTTAGAAATAATCTGTTTGCGTTCATAAACGCCGTAAACACTTTGTGCTTTGGGTGATTGTTCAAAACATTATCTTCTTAAATTTCCTTTTAACTATAATTTGTACAATATATTTGAGTCATTTATTGTAGTTTCCATTCTTTTATCTATATATTATGTTTACTTTTATTTTTAAAATAATTTTGAAAACATATTCGTGGAATTTACATTCGGTGCATTTTAGGTGAATGTATTTGATGCTTATTCTTATAGCTTCCTAAAATGCGTTTTTTTTCCACTTAACAATATGGTTAATACGTGTAATTCTCATTAAACATTATTGATCTTAAGTTAGATTTTATTGATTTAAGTTTACAAACTTTTTTTCAATTGAGGGAACTGTTAGAAAAAATAATAAAATAATTCTATAAGTGATCACGCCCAACTCTAGTCCTAAAAAGGATAAGCGGTCGCTGCAAATATAATCCGGTCTAAAAGTCCGGAGTCGAATCCCACAGAGAACTAAGATTTCACTATAACTGTTCAATATCACTAAAAAGACAAGCTCGAATAATTCTAAAGTTATAAATATTACGATTCTTATGTCTAACTAATTAACTAACAAATTAAAGTAGTAAATTAACAACTAGGGATACTAAGGGTTGGAGACAAGATTGGAAAAGCCTAGAGTCATACCACATGCTATTAATTTTTTTAAGGCATCATCCTATATTTAAAATCAACATCGGAAGCTAATTAGCGCGTAAGCAGCGTTGCGCCGTCTGTTGTACCAAATTAGAGAGAATTTGAGTTAAGAGACTAATCCAAAAAAAAAAGAAGGGAAGGTGAAACACATGCTAGAACCTAAGTATTCAACCATCAAACAAGTCAAAAGGTGCGAATCACATCATTTCTTCTCCTTTATTTCCTACATACTACTCTAAAAAAAATTACTATCCGGTTCAAGTTACATCCCATGAAAAAGAACCGAGGCACGAAGAAAAATCACAGAAAATTATTTTTCTATTTTTTTTAATTTTTTGTTTAGACTTAAATCCCTCAAGAAAACTCTCTAAGAGATCCATCATTGGGAAAAGTCCAAATTATTTTTTAAAAAAAATATTATCAATTAAACTAACACAACTAAATAGCATAAAAAGTCACCCAGATAATCTCCTTACCCCACACTTAAAATTATGCATTGTACCCAATGCACAACATAAATAATAAGAGGGTAAAAAAATTTCATGGTAGTCCAAAGGCCGAAGCACTAGCAGCTCATGGGATACTCACTGCTTTATTTTATTTTTAGTTTTTTAAAATTATTTTCTTATTGTATTATTTTTGTAGTGTCGTTTTTGATTTGTTAGGAGCATGGGAAGCATAGCTATTGGAAGGATCCAACAGCATGCCAGATGGTTATGATTATGCTCCTGGGGCGGTACGAATTCTTCTGAGCCAAAAATTAAGTAAACTTTCATGCACCCTTTGGCTCTCGACCGAGGAGTGTCACCTTGCTTAGACGGCCTTGAAAATATCAAAATATAAGGCTCATATACCTCTTCCCTTGACTCCTTTTTATGTTTATAAAGATCCATTCTCATTTCACCATTCGAACATAATGTAGAGAAGTGTTTGTAATGAGGTCCGACAAGTTCAAATACCTCAACTTCAAGATTTTCAGCCTCCTCGCCACAAATTATACTAAAGTCAACTAAATTTGAATCCTCAATGTCCTTGCCTAACTCTAGTATCATTTCTTCAACATTGACATCATCAAATTCTAGTTGGTTAGTGTGTTGATGTTCTACTCTGGATCCTTCCATTGACACCTCAATTTCTGTCCCTAATGTACAATGTTCCTGACTACTATCCATACTATTAACTTGTTGAGCATTAAAAGCTTCAACTATTTGACTCACTTGAGCCTTCAAGTTGTAAATAGTTGCCTCTTGCCTTTGTATCTACAGTTGTGTCTCATTATTATTTCCCACATGGTACCTTAGCATGTCCTTGATCTCCTTCAGGTCATCATCCCGGGTCCTTTGTTCCTATTAACTTCACAAGAAAAATTAGAACTATCATAGTAACGGGTTGGGGGAGGATAATAAATATACGCACAACTATGAAAGTGACCATTTTGACCACCACACATAGTACATACATTCCACAAATAAGATTGAGTTGGTGCAGATAACTCGCTCTCAGGAACGTTTTGAAAATTTTGCCACGTGTGGTTTCCTTCACAATATGTATACTGATCAAAAGTAAAATTAGCAACACCTAAACTTTCATAATTTCAAGATGTCATGTTTCTCAAATCAACAAGTAAAATAAAATAAAATAAAAAACAAAACAAAACAAAACAAAATAAAAGTTCAAACTTGAAACCTAGCAATATGTACATCTACACCCAACACTAGCCCTAAAAAGGTTAAGCGGTCGCTGCAAATATAATTTGGTCTAAAAGTCCGGAGTCGAATCCCACAGAGAACTAAGGTTTCACTATAATTGTTCAATATCACTAAAAAGACAAGCTCGAACAATTCCAAAGTTATAAATATTACGATTCTTATGTCTAACTAATTAACTAACAAATTAAAGTAGTAAATTAATTGTCACAACCCAAAATCCATTATAGGTCTTGATGGCGCCTAACACCACCGTCAGGCAAGCAAACAATAATTAATTAGCTTAATTACTCATTTTAGTATTTGAAATCACGATTTCCTTCAATTTAATAATAAAAGATGGACTTTACAGAGTAAATAAAAATATTTTCACAATTTCAATACCAAACAACCCATAATCACCCCAAAATCCGGTGTCACAAGTGCATGGGCATCAACTAGGAAGTCAAATAAAATATAATATATGTCCGTAATACAAATTGGACAGCATCTTCGGATCGTAGTATAGAATGCAACTCACCTAAATCCCCGCAATAACCGCGCCTCTACGCCCACAAAGTCACTAGACATGTATGTACCTGCACAAAAATGTGCAGCAAGTGTAGTATGAGTACGTAAATCAACGCGTACCCAGTAAGTATCCCGTCTAACCTCGAAGAAGTAGTGGCGAGGGGTCGACTCTGACACTTACTATGGGCTAACAATAAATACCGATATTATACTTAAGCATGGATTGTATGAAATAGTTGTAAACTCAATAACAAGAAGTGAGTGGACAATTCTTTTATTAATAGGAAATTTTTCCAAACTTATTCTCATCATTTAAACATTATATCTCAAGCCAAAGAAGCAATATCAATTATAATTGGTTCCAAAGATTTATCATGCATAAATTATGCCGAGGTCGTACGGCTCGATCCAACATAATATTTAAACTGTGCACTGCCGAGGGTCGAACGACACGAACCATAGATGCATCTATCTTCTACCGAGGCGTTCGGCCCGCTCCACAAAAGAGAAAACACATTAAACAACCAATTCAAGATTTATTAAGGGAAAAATATTCCAAGAATTATAAATTCTCATTTAACGGTCAAGTAAATGAAGTTTAACCTTTTTACAATTCCTTTATTGAGTTTCTAAATGATATAAATAATTAAATTAACAAGTAGGGCGCAAACATTGCAAGTACAATATGATATGGGTCCTAGACTACCCGGACATAAGCCTAATAGTAGCTACGCACGGACTTTCGTCACCTCGTGCGTATATAGCCCCCATAAATAGAAGCACACAATAATTTGATTCACATATGGGGTTAATTCCCTCTTACAAGGTTAGAAAGGAGACTTACCTCACTCCAAAATTCTATAACCGGCTCCAAAACCTTTCCAACAACTCAAACCAATGCCAGTCGCTCCAAAACTAGTCAATAAAGGTGCAAATCCATAAATATATACTCTAATACTCATTATAATTCAATTTACAACAATTTCCAATTCCGCTCTAAAAGTCGATAAACATCACCCTCGTGTCCACGTGCCCGGATTCCAAAACTTTTCTAAGATAAACATTACCCATGAGCCCACGAACTCAAATATATAATTCATTCCAAATTCCATGTCCAATTTCGTGGTAAAAATCCAAAAATACCAATTTTTAGGTTTTCTTCATGTAGTTAACTCACAATGTGAAGAAATCACTTACCCCATAATAGCTGTTGAAGATGGCACTCCAAAATTGCTCCAAAATCGGCTCCCATGGACGAAATGAAGTGGAATTGATCCAACCCCTTTATTTAAAAAGAACACTGCCAGCCCGACTACCGCACCTGCGACCACTTCACGGCCAAAACCTCACACCTGCGCATACCCTCTGCCCAGTACAGCTCCGCACCTGCGATGCCAAATGCGCCCCTGCGGTCTCACACATGCGGAGACCTTCCGCTTCTACGACTCCAGCTGCCAGCTCGCATTCCGCTTCTGCGGAGCTTTCCTCGCATCTGCGGGCTTGCCGATACGGAATCATCCTTGCATCTGTGGCCATCCCATCTCCATCAAAATGTCGCTTCTG